AGAAAAAGGAGGAGAGAAAAAGAAAAAAAAAAGAGGGACTTTTTGGTCATATTCATTTGCACACAGCAGCAAATGCTGAAGGTCTTCCAAGGCTGCTCTTAAAACCATTTTACAAGCTATTAATGCCATAAAATAAGGAGAGCTTGGAAGGTGAACATGCAGCCCCCTCTCTTAGGTTCCAAACACTGAAGGGTAATATGGAAAAAGTGGAAGCAAACTTGCTAACCATTTCCACCGCGCTGGTTACGATGAATGGGAGATGACACCGATGGAAGACCCGTCCCGTTACAGCACGGCACACTCTCGCAGGGTGTCCCTGCACTTTCAGATGCGGATTTACCGCAGGGGGCTGAAGGGTAGCGAGCTACCCGCCTCTCCTCCCCGCTGGCAACTGCAGCTCGCTGTGTGTCTGCATGTGCCTGCTCCTCATCTTGTGACCCACTAATGGCCGAAGCGGGCCTCCCCCCTGCCCGCCCCCACTTTGCACCACATCTGCTTTGCCCACATCCACAGACAACGCTTATGCTTTTTGAAAGGAAAACAGGGAGAAACTGGGGAAAAAAAACCACCCAGAGATGATGTCTAAACCCCTGCTTTACAAGGTGTCTCACCTGGTTGGTTATCAGCATTCACCTTTAAGCCACCGAAGTGCTGCGAGTGCTGCACTGGCTCCTCAGGACAGCTCCCAAAATACCAGGGGTGCAGCGGGAACACAAGGCTCCCTAATGCATGGCTCCAGTCTCATGGAGCCACCGGACCAACGACAGATACAGCTGTGCTGCATGAACAAGTTCTGCTTGGCGGGGGGGGGCAGGGGGAAGACTGCGCTTGCCACAGCCCAACAGGCAGGATGCTTCCATGGGCGCTGGGAGATAGCTTCAGGTTGCGTGTCCATCTTCAGGTCCCACCACGAAGAAGAAATTCACCCGTGCACTCTCACTGGGAGTTATTTCTAACCACCAAGGGGGTAAGGGAAATCCGGCTTCTCCAAAGGATTCATTTCCTTGGCTTGTAGCAGCGCAGAGACTTCCCAGCGGTTCTGGGCTTGACCAGAGCTCTGAAGAGCATTAGATGAGATATTCCTCAGCGGGACTGCCCAAAGACAAGACGCGATTCCCTGCAAAGTTATGTACAAAACCCTTGCTGCTGTCTTTCAGTGTTTCTTGCTGTAATGGTTCACCTGCCTGCCCCAGTGAGCATCAACCACTGTTAAACCCATAATAATAAATGATGATACGCCCATAATGTGATGCGAACGTACCTAGCAGCCTCACCACCAAGGTTAGCGTTCACCAACATCTCCCCCCAGGACCACAGCACTCGGTGAGATCAGTCTGCACCCTATTTCTTTGCTCGAGCCACAAGAGTTTGTCGCAAAGGAGAATATTCCCTTGTCCCCTACTCCAAGCTGTCTCTCAAGACAGTTCGAGGAGGCCTTGCCTTTCCTATTCCTTTTCTTTTAGTGCATATGGCAGCACGGTGCTGCTCTGCATGTGCATGTGCGGGCAAGTAAGCATGCGCAGCTATGGATGGAGGCAAAAAAATAAATCAGCCTAGAAGCTGACACGGATTAGTGTCTGCTCATGTAAAATTTGTAGCAGGATCTCATGCATGCGAGTCCATTACCGGCTGGTCCCCGTAGCCGAAGGTACCCATTTACATAGCAGCTGCATGAGCACTCTGCGAGTCAGGGCAGTCTCGTTTTCCCAGTGCCTCGCCAGTGACCGGTAATGAACACGCTGAGCGCTGCTGGCAAGGAAGGATTAACCACACTGCGACAGAACGGGCTTGATACATTTTATTGGCAATACTCTTGTCATACTCAGGAACCACAACCCTTTGTCAGACCGTTAGTGCTACCTTGCATGACAAGTATCAGTGACCAACTGTATTTGAAATATAGTTAAAGTGCCTAGAAATAATAGGCATCTTAAAAAAAAAAAAAAAAAAAAAAGGAAAGGAAAGGAAAGGAAACTCATTCCATCCACTCAAGCCAACCTTTATAGATCTTACATCTTAAGCACAACTGATGTACTGTAATTGTTATGTGGACTTTAATGTAACCTCTACAGCAGCACACAGACAATGCAGTTCTCTCATTATGCACATGCTTTAGGATCGTTTATTTTAATGCTTTCAAATAAATATGTTCCATGCAGCACACTGCAATAAATAAGGAGCAGCAACTTTCGTATAGTACATCCATTCATAATGTAAGTCACCATGTGAAACACCACATCTAAAGTCTTTGGCCCAGTCCCATACAGTGAAGCACACCACATCTGCACATAATCATATCTGGCTTCATATGGATTTAATAGGACTATGCCAGAAGGGCAATGTGAGCACAAGTTTAACCAGGGGTTCCTAGCTATTAAATACAGCTACTAAGTAGTTAAAAGGCAACAACTAAACCCATAAAGGGTTGATTTGTCTTTTCTTTCTTACTTTTCAGACAGAAATATAAAGTATGAAAATGCTCTGGAAATTTTCAGCCTCGTGTAAAGCAGCGTGATTAATATGGAATGCTTTGAGCAATACTGGCACGGACACTGGCATCAAAAGCCACAGCAAGACTGACTCTGACACCGAACACCGGCGTCCTCAGCGGGGGAAAGCTGCTGTTCTGGCGGCGGCGGGCGCTGCTCCCGCTCCCCCTCTAGGCCGACAGCTCCACCGCCCCTTCCTCTTCGCTGTCGGCTCGGTTGGCGCGGATTTCCACCAGGGTGCGAGCGAAGCGGGTCCATTCGTCGTTGTGAGGGACAGCCAGCTGGGGAAGAAAGCAACAGGGAGTTAAGAGACCGCGTGGGGAGACCGGCTATCCCTCTGGCCCAAAATCGAGGCACTGCCTTTGAGGCGAGCTCCTCTGGCAATGGCTGCGGGTGTGCCCGGTGAGGGAGCCAGGCGCCGGCCCCGCTGACCCGCCGTGGGCTGGTTACGCTGCAAAGTGCTGCCGACTTCCCCGGACAAATCTGGCAGCTTCCCCTTCGGTACCAGCTGGAAGGAGCTTTTACAGCCGGTGGCAGAGAAAAAAGCTGTATCTGCTTGATTTTAAGGAAAAGTTTCGTGCTGCAATGTTGTTGCAAAATCCTCCCCCTGGTTAAAATATTCCAGATTTTCCAAACCAAGGCGAGGCCTTGATCTCTACAAGTGCATACATGTATGTTTAACTTCGCACACGTGAGCTGGGCATTTGAAGTCAGCGAGGCTGTGCCCAAGCGTAATTGTTTGCAGGACCGAGGTCAACGCGCGCAAGGTAACAGAGCTTTTACAACGCTGCACTGAAACTATTTTCCTGAAGTTCATTAAAGCTCTTAATAGTAAAATAAATATATTGTGTTATTTTAGTTACCCTCCTCTATGTTAAGGAATTCACGATTACAAGAAATGCATTATAATGGAAATGTTATACCAACTGGATACTGCATTACTGGGCTGATTGTTTTATATCACCATGCAAGATCCATTTCCATTTAATACCACTGATGTTTCTAATGAAGAGCTCTTGAATGTTAGGCTTCAAGAGGGATGTGTAATCTAAATAGCTAAACTTCCAGACAAAATGCTCTAGTGCTGTGGCAAAATAATACTGCAGTCATTTCCAGCTGGATCCAACGCTGCAACTTCTGGAAGATAATGCAAGCCGGGATCGAGATAATTAAAAAAAAAAGCAGCAAGCAGTTTTCCCAAACTTTGTTTTCATCAACTCAAATTCCAGAAAACAGCAACAAGATGAACGATGCATGTTTTTACTGCCCTCCTGAAGCCCTGCGATCATGTCCTCAATATAAGGAAGAAATTTTTTACAGTGAGGGTGGTAAAACACTGGAACAGGTTGCCCAGAGAGGTAGTGGAGGCCCCATCCCTGGAAACATTCAAGGCCAGGTTGGATGGGGCTCTGAGCAACCTGATCTAGTTAGCAGTGTCCCTGCTCACTGCAGGGGGGTTGGACTAGATGACCACTAGTGGTCCCTTCCAACCCTAAACATTCTATGATTCTATGATTCTATAATATGAAAAAAATGACCATTTCAAGATATTATGCAGCGCTTGGTACTGCAGAAGGCAACTGTTTGGAAACCATGGGGCCTGTAATAAACTGCTGCCCACCGTAGCAAAGGGATGCCTTTAGACTCAAGGATGAGTATGACCTTAGCTAATCCAGCCTGTGGTACCCAATATCCAATCTGTACTGACCGACTCCTTTCAAAACACCACCAAAACCGGCGCGCAGACGGCTGGCTAACTGCGCCCGCTTGGCGCTAGCAGGGCGTAGGCGCACGCGAGGCTGTGCAGGAATACAGTCCCGTTATTCTCCTTACATCCCACCCGCGATACATGTAACGGGGGACACGAACTAGCAAAGCCCAGCTGGGGAAAGAGCTTGTGTATATGCCCAACGTTAGCCACGCGTGAAAGCCCCACGTCCCCTGTGGCAAGTTCAGTGTTAATCACGTGGGCAGGAATTTGCAATACTGGATCTATGCCTCTCCTCTGTATCTCACTGGCGCCCATGAGTTTCTCAGCTATTTTGCATCTAGCTTTGCCTCTACATCCAATGTTTCGGGGAAAAACGTAGCCTGTGTTCTAAAGCTTCCCACGTATAGTGTGTGTAACAGCGACTCAGTTACAGTATGAAGAGCTGCTGTACAACAAGTTTGGGGTTTTGCCTGTTGAAACACTGAATATAGTACAGTTCAGCATTCACTGAGGGTACAGACTGAGAAATGCAATCTGTGTGAAAGCCATCTCAGGCCTCAATAATAGGTGTCGCTTCACTCTCCGGGTTTTCCCTTCTCTGTCTTCCACTTTTTGCATTTTTCTCCTTTACTCGTCCTGGGAACGGAGCCCAGAGTCACGGGGGTAAATCCCGGGAGGCAGCTGTCTCTCAGGCTCACACGCCCAGATGTGGATCTGCTGTGGTCTTCGCCTGAAAGACAGCTCTGTTCTTTCAAAACCCCTCAGCAGAAGGAAACGTACCGCCAGCGTGGAGGTCAGCGCACCAGCACGCAAGTACCCGTCGCGCAGGCCTGGTGGCAGCCACACACCTGTACAAGCCACCGTACGGTAAGTTAAGGGGCAGTGCAGAGAGCCTTCCGTCACAGATGCAACCAAACCCAGCTGCACAGCAATTCCCCTGTTGCTATTGCTTGCGTCCTAAAAGGCTTTTATTTCTTGTGATGTGCACAGCGCTATCATTTATCAAACTCTTGAATGAAAACATGAAATGAGTCTCACTTATTTCAACTAGTGAAATCATTACAGTGGAACAATATCCTAGGCAAAGGACTTACTTATTGAATTTAATAAAGCCTCATTTCTCCTTGTCTTTTAAAGTCCTAAACAGCATTACATTGTATTAAATGGCTGAAGAAGACAATATGTCATTCCGAAGAAAAAAATGAAATATATTTATGACCTTGGGATCATTTAATTTCCTTTACTCCACACCATGGCCGCAGACAAATAAAATCGAAGTCCAGCCTATTAAAACAACTTGGTATCTCAAACTTGAAGAGTCTCCCCACAGACACATGCATTAGGCGCATTGCTTAGCTGACAGTGTTAGCAAGGCCTGGGCTGGTTTTGATGACTCTGTTCCCAAAACAATTAATGATCGAAGTGAATACCTTTAGCGTGGAGATGAAAACATTCAGTGCCCGCACACAATCTAATTAGTTAGAACTTCATCTTATTTTACTTTATTTAATCTCACACATTGCCTCATGCTTTCAACGAGGGGCCAATCCTGCTAACAGACTGTTGGTAGAATAAACCTCTCCAATGTAAATTCAGGGATGTGGAGGGAAACCTTGGCAATAATGAAGTCAAAGGAAAAAGTTACTTTTATTCCCCCCTATTCTCTCTCTGTGAAGGCCCCAATACCGAACCGCAACAGTTACACACAAAAAAACACAAATAAAACCAGAAGCATACACAAACTCCAATTCAAATTCTTGTCTGAGCTAATGCTCCCCCCTTCCAGACATTTTCCATTTGAGTTCCTTCAGCCAGGCACACTGACACCTGCAAGTGTTGGAGGCCTGGGTCTACCTGCGCTTTCAGCTTTCTGCACAAGTCTTTTTCTGCAAATACTAGGGCAGGGGGTGGAAGAAACGAGGAGATACTTCATAGAGAAAGGGCAGAGGTTTGGGGCTATCTGGGTGTTCCTCACTCATTTGGTGTTTTTGCCATTTTTCTGTCCTCTTCCAGTTACTACAAAGCAGCATGTGCTGAGTCCCAGCAGTCATGATGTCAACGCAGGCTAGAGATGTTCACCAAAGCATAGCAACTTAATATAATAACTTACATTAACATTTGGGTCAGAAGGTTATTTGAATGAACTGACACTAAGGTATGGAGCAGAACAAGAAGTAAATGCTATTAAGTGTTCTCCTTTGATCCCATCACAATGGAAGGTAAGCGCTACCCGCACCTAATTAATTGACTTAATTACTCACACTGCCTTGACTTAAATACCATGGCACATTTAGGTTGTGTCAGACAGTAATTCTCATGAGAAAACCAGTATTATCAAAGCAAGTTGGTGACTTTAGCCAACATTTGTCTGTTAAGCTGCTGGAAGAGGGGTACTTTGGTCCTCTGTCTGGCTTTTAAAATATGGAGAGAGTTCAGGCTGCAAGCCTACTGACCTGCAAGTGTGATGACAAGTTTATGCATCCAAATAAACCTGCTTCTGCTTGTGAAGTTACACATGCTCAGCTGGTTACAGGAGTGAGAATTTAGTATAGCAAAACATCTTCTCAAGATGTTAGGATGACCCATTTTTAATTGGGTGAAAATATTTAACTCAGGACAACTGGGGTCTCTCATTTCTCAAAAAAAAAAAAAAAAGAAAGAAATCAAAGTTTTCTTTATATCATATCAACTTTTAAGATCTCCTCCCCCAATTCACTTCCATAAAATATTCTTCCAAAAGCACTCAATGAGCTTCCTACATAATCAGTAACGTATAACAACCAACAAAGACACGTAACATACTAAATACTGGACACAGTAAAGATTTTAGCATTTAAACTAGTTCACCAAACAAAGTGAGCTCAGTTGAGCCCCCGGATTGAGACTGGCTGCGTGCTGCACAGGAGGGCTGATATGCAGCAGCCACAATTAATATTAAGCACTGGAAAGGTGGATTGGTAATTTCATCAAGCCCAGGGGCAGCCTCCAGATAGTAACACTAAATATATTTCTGCCTATTCCTGCGAGGTGTTACAGTTATCAGTTTATCATATTATAGATAGATAACATTATACCTACGTGCACCTTTCCCAGACTGTGCTTCCCCTGTCCACCGTACGTACATACACCGAGGGAAGGCAACTCTTGACTGTACAGAACAGAATACAAAGGGCCTAGAAGGTGAGATGATGGGATGCAACAGCAAAAGGATTGTAAATTAGGAGCTGAGATCTCCCTGTCCTCTTGTTCTTCTCCTTCCCATCTGCTAGAGGTGTCTGGATCCTGGCCAGCTAGAACCTTGTCTCTAGTATCATTCTCACCCTCTTCTTTCTTGGGTGATAATGTGTTGAGTTGTGCTTTCAAGACTGAAGAGGATCTAAAGAACATCTAGATTTGGAGAGAAGGGACTTGCCTAGCTGGGCCACATAGGTCAACCACAGTAGGTCCCCACAGTCCATTTTTCAGAGTCATGCGGTTACAGCAGACTTTAAAGCAACAAGGCTTGTAAAGTTTACAGGTGAGATGTTCCAACTTGTGCTTATTCTCCACTGTAGATAAAGGATAAAATTA